ATGTTCAGAACTTTACAAAAGGTACTTTGATGATACTCCAATCACCACTATAAGTGTGGAAGAGACGACATGGTTTATGGATGAACTCAATCGTCTGCATCCGAATATACGATTCACGATGGAAGCATAAATAGACAATACACTGCACTTCCTCGACATTAATATTGACCAGAAGGAATGATGGAACAATCGCCAGATCTGTCTAACGCAAACAAACTTGGATAGGCCAATACTTGTACTGTGACAGCTTTGTGCCTGTGGAATATAAACGTGGCCTGGGCGGAACACCATTTCAAAGAGCACGACGTATTTGCACAGAAGACATGATTGATAACGAACTACGATAGTTGAAAGAAGCCTTGACCGAAAGCGCTTATCCCGATGCGTTTATCGAAGGGCGTATTCATCAGACAAACGACTTGTTCGTCAACGAAATTACTAGTCACCCTTTATCTTCCATTCAAAGGTGATGTTAATTGCAATTGGGTAGTAGGAGATTAGATTTGTATATAATATGATTCATCATGCAGCTTGAACCCTCAACTCACTATTGAAAACCATGGAAGCACTGTACTGTTGTTTCATCTTTGTTAAGGATCATCATCAGTGCACATCCACCGAGCCCCCACGGGGACTCGAACCCGGGGTGAACGATTGTGAATCGAACACCTTAACCGCAAGGCTATCCGGGTTGGCTATCAACGGTTTGTTGAACATCTACACTACATGATATAGCACCCTTCCGTCACTGGCTTTTGAACGGTAACAACCCGCTTCCCACACAGCGATCGACTCCGTGGGGGCTCGGTGGATGTGCACTGCTGATGATTCCTAACAAGGATGAAACAGCTGTACAGTGATGTTAATTGCTTGTTCAAACGACGACTCGGATCAGCGGTTGCTCGAACATATTATGCACCTGACCTCAGAATTGCTCATCGAACGACTAGGATCCCCTCACCCTCGGTGAAACAACGTCTACTTCTGTACACCTACTTGGGTCAAACAGAGCAACAGTTATGTAACCGAGCGACTGAACATATTTCAAATCGAGTCTTACCTTTTGCGATGCAATCAGAATCAAATCAAACGCATAATGACAACGTTCAGTACCATAAGATCCCGCCGTCGGTCATTGTTCGTCATCTTCTGATGACATATTGTCCAGCTGACCAAAACACTGCATTTCGGGTCATATACGTGGCAAAGAAAACCAGGCTGTTGAGATTTGCCGAAGCCATTGCCATACATCGATGGAAATCTGTATTATGTCACCAGCAACAGCTGTTTGTTAATGTGTCTATCACGATGACGTAACTTGTTTATTGTATTTTCCCCTATATTCGTCCCTTGTTCTGTAGTATACACCATGTTGAGGTGCAGCAAAATCGCCCGCGACATAAACTGTGCTATGCTGAAACTTTTGCTCTCCGTTTCAAGGTTATTTTGGTGCAGATGTGTTTCAAAGTTCTGCACGACCGCCTAGTAGGTAAGCTCAAGGTGATCCGTGTTGTGGATCCGCTCATTCCGTGGGTCAAGTTTCCTTAAACAGATGACCTTCTCAGTACGAGTAGCACGATCAATGTCGACATGGCAGGTAACTAGTGGTTGTGTAACAAGGATTGGCTCTAGGCCCACTGTTCTTCTTCGTTTGTATATATGATCTACCGGCAATTTTCTAATCACCATGTCTTATTTACCGGATGGGGGAGCACCATAAAATTTGGCCTACGATCACACCAAACGCAGATGAACACGTCCTTCAGTTGGACGTCAAGAGCCTTGGACGATTGTCTGATCTACGATCTCCACCAATCAATACCAACGAGTGTGCACAAATGCGCGCACAGAAACCGTCCATCAATGTGATGCAATATTTATGTAATACCCCCTTCGCCTTTTGGTTTAGGAAAATGACTTGGAGGAGACTACTTCTTCCTCGTTAAAAATCAAAAGAAACGGAAAAACTCTGTGCTTCCTTGGACCTATTCGCCGGTCATTTGATCAACTCTCACTCGACGCTCGCAAAGTGTGGTATACCTCACACGTACGACCTAGACTGGAACACGGGAGACCCGCCGTCCTCCCATGTACGACTGCAGGAACAGCTAAGATTGCAGAGGAGTGCAACCCGTATTGTTGGTGGACTATGTGGAATCAACTGTGAAAGTTGTCTGCAGATTTCTGGATTGTTTCCAATGGCACATCGAAAAGTTCAAAGTGACCTGATCTTCACCAGACTTATTGTCCGAGGCGACTTCGGACCGCAATCATGTGCATAGCTCCTTCTCCACGAGCACAATCGCATGCGCGGTCATCCGCTGATAATTAAAGAAGCAGCAGTTGGTGGGTCTATTTTCGGTATACCGACTATCTCGGAGGGTGGCCAATCTATGGAATGAGGTGCCAGCTGAAGTGGTGGACAAGCCTGATGACCAAGTGTTCAAACAACTACCAGACGTCTTTCTGAAAGAAATGTGGCAAGTGACTCACGCCTCAGTCCATGTGACTGGGCTGTAGTGATGAGACTTACACGTGAGAGATGTCCTCTGCTTCTGTGGTGAAGAATGAAGGACGCTGAAACTTGCCCAATCTCCTTAAGGCTAACCCTGCACCTACTGAACAAAAATTGTGGCATTATGCAGGTTACCATAAACGCTGTTGGATCTTTCAACTACGTCATGTAATCCCGTGGCATCTATCGACCCATTTCAGATAATCTGTAACGGTAAAAGGAAGGAACTCATAATTTATTGATTCCATAAACAGTATCCGATGTGGTATGTGCTTCTCTTGAATAAACTTATTCCAAACTAATGTATTACTAGTTCACAACCGGCCGATATTGACCAGAGTCACAATCACATTCAGGAACCTTCGACACCTTCATTGTCAGAGACTGAACATGGTTAGTTTCGTGCAAATGTTAATAGTTGCTAACCACGGTGGGATGAGAACTCAAACATCGATTTCTCTTATACATTAGTTCCGCTTCAGTTCACTTTAAACAACCATTAACCATGCAATGTGTGCTTTGGTTGCTATCTCTCAGCGGCGGGCTCAAATGGAAATGACAAGAAAAATAAGAGCATGAAAAGAGTAAGAACAGAACGACTGGTGGTACCATCAAGTCAATAAACAAAGTTTGTGGATACAACTCCACAGACCGCAACATCGAGCCATGTCTTCTAGTGGATCTAACCAGTGAGTGGGGATTCTCTTGGATTCTAGACTCCTGCACGTTAGGCTTCTTACATCTTTCATCCAAGCTATGGGCTGACCCCTACTCATCTCCCAACCATTACCCGCATCAGCGAAATTTGCGTGCCGATGAATTCCACCCGAAGACACGCGCAACACAAATCCTAACCATCTTAGCCTCGTGACCTTTAGTGTATCATTCAGTGGTTTGGTTCGTGTACGTAGGACTGTGCCCAACTTCAGCATTGCTGGTACAGCGCTCCCACCATATTCGAACAACGGTACGAAGATATCGGTCTTCAAATACCGACAATTTTCGTATATCCTCCACCAACAATGGCCATTTTTCCCCACCGTCGGGAACACCAGACAAGGCATTCCATAAAGCATCCTCTATGGTAGAGTTGAAGAGAAACGGAGATACAGGGCACCTCTGTCGTGCTCCACTGAAGACAACCAAAGGGGGTGAAAGCTGACTGTAGACCATAACCTGACCTGAGGTGTGACGATACAACTCTTCGAGGATTGAAACACTCGTTTCAGGTACTCCATTTCTCAACAAACAAATCTATTGTGCGATCCTATCGAGGGAGTCCAAGACCGCGAGAGTGTCTAAGAACACAATGAATGTTGGTTTTATGGAATGTGACGATGCTCTAGCAGTTGTTGGGGAGGGTGATTTCACCAAACATCCACGAACGGCACTAAACCCAGTTTGTTCATTGAGTTTATTCACCGCGCATTTGGTACGCTACGCGAAGTGAGACAGCACCTTCGCCGTTATTAGGTTAACGCTTACACCCTTATGGTTAGCGTAGTCACTGCGCAAGCCCTTCTCAAAGATGGGGACAACAATCAATTCTCTCCATCACGAGGGAACCTGCCTGGATTTCCAAACATATGAGAACAAAACACGAAGTCCCCTAACGAGCTGCAACCAAAAGCAGAACCCAGAACTGAGAGGTTAGTGGTAGAATGAATTGAAATGAACAGGATGATTAGCAGAGAATAATGAATAGGAGCAGTTTGGATGCCTGACCCATGTTGCTGCCTTACCATGGTGATCAGATTTACGTGCTACGATGACCCGGAGGGCTACGCGGATTGGAGCGCGAAGCAATTTTCCAGGCTCAATCATACCAGACAAGCCAAAAAATCACGAAGTTCTCTAACGAGCTGCACCCCAACATCTCCAAAAAGGACTAGGGAAGGTCACCAGAGCTCGGAGATTTGTGACGTCCTGAGGTACGAGTTTCACTACGGATCGCTTCTTCAGTAGGTGGGTCTGTCGAAACGCGCCATTAGACATGTGCCGGAAGAGCTATGGGGGAGGCTGACACTGAGGGCCAGCTAAACTGCGCCTGAAAGTGCTCATCCCAGAGTTCAAGACGACGCTGTTTATTTGAATTGGCGAACCGTCATCTTTACAGATCGTTTCACTCACATCTAGTAGCTTTCTACCGGGACTCGAATGAAAATAGGCAGTTCGCACGTTGCTACCACCAGATTTCGCGATCCTCATGAAGACTCGCGCTAAAAGCACGCCTCATAACGAGTCATGTTTCGTTATACTCGCTTCCAGCTGAGATCGACTGGTGTGCGTCTGGGAAGGCGCAGAGACTCGGCGTAAACTCAGGGTCATACATCACGACGAGACAGGCCACAAGTTACTAGACAAGCGGAATGCAAAGCAACCTTGATAGGCGAATGGAGAAGTGGCAAAACACTCCCAATAAACGAAAATCGAGTATACTATCTAGTAAAACGGTGTACAGGAAAAGCGAATACCAAAAAGGGTGTTAGGAAACTAACTTCTTGTCATGTTTGAGCAGACTGTCCACCACCTGGACCACCTTAAAATAACCGTCCGATATAGAAGGATAGAACGGGCGCTGTGGCACGGACAGACCAACATGGACTAACTCTTTCTCAATTCGTTTGATTTCGTCCAGAGTTCGCTCAAAAAGCATCAGGTTATGCTCTTCTTCCCGTAACAGATGATAGGCAACTTGAAGAACTTGCGGATAAGATAATTTATCGATAGATTTAGGTCCACTGTAAGGCTCCAAATAGCGAAGATCATCTTCTGAAAAACTGCAACGGATCAACTCGTAGATCACAGCCAACTCGCGTCGACGACTTCGTTCTTGCTCGTTGTGCTCGTCCCTTGCACGTTTATCTGTTCGACAATTGTCTATGGATGCGTACGGCGATTTTAAAAGACGAAAGGGTTTCGTTGATGATGAACTCAGATGACGTGGTCGCTTATTGAAATACAGGGAATCGTCATCAGATGCAGTCGTCGTCTGTTGGTCCACCTCTGGCACATGGACCGTAAGGTCTACGAGGTCGGTCAGCACGGGGGAAACGCTGTTTACGTGGCCTAGGTTGACTCGACATATTCAACGCAACCTGAAGTTACTCAATCTGCAATCGAAAATGGTTGACTTTAGAGCTAATCCGTAGTGCAGTAATACAACAGAAATACCATCAAAATCATGCATAAATCCACTTTACGCTCCGTGCTAAGCAAACGAAACCAGAAAGAACTTGAGACACCACACGGATGTCGCGTATTATGCGCAAACAGACGCTGTTTATTGGAATCGGCGAACCGTCATCTTTACAGATCGTTTCACTCACATCTAGTAGCTTTCTACCGGGACTCGAATGAAAATAGGCAGTTTGCAGGAATTACCCAAGGCGGCAGTACGTTCCATTTCTGATGCACGTTGCTACCACCAGATTTCGCGATCCTCATGAAGACTCGCGCTAAAAGCACGCCTCATAACGAGTCATGTTTCGTTATACTCGCTTCCAGCTGAGATCGACTGGTGTGCGTCTGGGAAGGCGCAGAGACTCGGCGTAAACTCAGGGTCATACATCACGACGAGACAGGCCACAAGTTACTAGACAAGCGGAACGCGAAGCAACCTTGATAAGCGACCAGTTCTGGTTCATGTTATCAGGTGGGACTGCAGCTAGCGCGTTTTGGAAGACGGGTAAGCGAGATTGATCGTATTCTTGCTGCACGTGATGGGCAAGGCTGGGAGAAACAGCGCGGCGGTCAGGCTATGATTTGGTGTAGGGGATTGAGGAGATTGACTTCGGTTGGTGCTTCCCGCCTTCCTGGCTCGGAACCAAATCCAGAGGCACGAACGCTGCGTGGCCTGTAATGTTGACTTCTCATTCGCCATAGATAACTGAAAACAAACAAAAGACTGCGAAACGTGTACGCCGAAGCTATTTAAGAAATTCCTCAATACTATTGAAAACTGGTGCTGGTTGTAGCTTAGGTTGGTGTTGTTCAACGGTTTCTGATCGTTGATTAAAAACAACTGCCTTACTTGTTGGCTCTTAATCCTCCCCTTCCCCGGGTTTGTTTCTTTTTTGTAATTTTTGCGTTGGCACAATGCGTTTCCGAGTAAAATGTAAACGTGTGGGCAGAATTTCCTCGGAAGCACACGACTGGTTTCTCGGTCGTTGCCGCTCACGAGGTATACCTACCCGCTACTCTGCTGACCACTCATCTTCATACTTGTACACTCCGACATTATATCTCCATTATGTATACGTGTAAGCACTCGAAAACACATTAGTCGGTACTCCGATGGACTGGTCACCTTATGTCACTGCACTGAGCCCGATGCGGCTTTAGAACGGTGCAAAATTTCAACCCTGGATAACTTGGTTCTAGGGTAGGTTTCGTTGTGAACGACGAATGTGTAGCGGGAATCAACTTCGTTTATTCGTTTAACATATTACTTATCTGAACTCATGCTGCTGAGCACGGTAGCCGTTAATCGGTGCACGTGCACGCACGCCCTCGCAATACGCGCTAATCACTTCCGCCCTATTACCGTGTTTCCCATCCCATGGGTCGTGGGCGACATTGCTCTGGTGATCGTGATAGCGTAGTGCGGAGTACCATTGTAATGAACAGATGGTCCACGCGTAGCAAGGACTAGCAAACGTGCGTAATAAGGAAACAGCTTGGTAAGCTCAACACGACCTCACGGTTGGTGAACCCGACGTGTTGCCCAAGTCACGCAAGCTTCCCTTTTGGTCCCCCACTGTCGTTGTCATCTTTCCCGTGTTGCTTTGTTGTAGGATAGTTAGTTGGTTCTCCTATCTTCGTACATGCATTAATAATTTTTCTTCTACCGTTTTACACCTTCGTCGATTTGTCGCCATAATTTTCCGGATCGTTTTCAAACCTTCTGGCCCTTGGTGGTAACAGTGTGTAGGCGATTCATGGCAGCCATTTGTGTTCGTCTATAATTGCCTACTTCCTGCAGCACGGTTGGTGAGAAATTATAGGCCGCCTACTTAGACATGCCATTTGCAACACCCACTCAAAGGTCAGTCGTTCACGGCGTTTACCGATCACAAGCCTTTGATACGCAGTAAAGTCTGCTCTCGATCAACACTCACCACTGTCTTACAGTTTACTGTGGACATACGACGTCTTTGGAGCACAATCCCGTCCTCGATGCCTTATCACGCGTACACCAACTAAGTCTGTTACCAGCGTCCGATATCGACTTAGACACAATGGCACATGTTCAGAGAACGAGCATGATGCCGAATGACTCCAAAACGGTTCGTTAAGCTTGACACTGTCACGCACCACTCAACATCCGCGGTCACTCTTAGCCAAACCCTAACTACCAATACTTTTCTTTGCTTTCCATGAGCTACAGCACCACCAAGCGTCGTTTGTGTGTTATCCTGGTTGAACATCTGCTGGCGCCCCCAGGCGCAATTTCTTCCTATTTTGCCTTATCCTCTCAGGTGGATTCATAGTCAAACTGGCTACATCCGTTTCCTCACTACGCCCGGCACGTTCAAGATGACTACTCACTGGACAACAGGACGGTTAGTCAGCATGACGCTAAGGACGCATCTGTGGGGGAAGTCGAAGGTACGGAAGTCAAATTCTCGCCATTAGTCGTCCAATGTCACGCGAATACGAGGAACGACAGGCACGGAACTCCTGAAACATCAACACACCCGTTCCACGCCCAACTCCGTCGGACTTCTAGGAGGCCCCTGTAGAGGGAATCAAATTTATTTATTTGTTTAACACATTTATCTGAACTCTAGCTGCCGAGCACGGTAGCCGTTTGACCCGTGCACATGCACGCTACACGCACGCCCTCGCAATACACGCTAATCACTTCCTCCCTAATACGGTGTTTTCCATCCCATGGGTCGTGGGAGGTAATGCTCTGATTATCGTATCGAAGCATCACAGTGACGGACGGGCGGTACGCGCATTGTAGGGGTGCGATAAGGAAGTACCATGGTAGGGTTTAACCGACCTCACAAATGGGCCGGGAGTTTAGTGACTAGTGACATCATTATCCCGAGAATTCATTGGCATTAACCTACCATAAGAACTGGTTATCCATTGCGTTACTCGACTCATCAAACAAACGAAGATAGTCACACAAAATCGGAGGCGAAAACAACCTCGGAAGGTGTACATGTTGAATCTAGCTGATATAACTGAAACATTCAGGGTTGGCGTTCGACTTGGGTGACTACCGCAGCGTATCGAACTGGCGCGGAACCAAGCGGCCCAAGCAGATGGATGAACTCTAGCACAACTATAATCGGCAACGTCTGAAATTATCTATTGTAATTGTTTCGAATCAGAATATTGACCATTCTTCAGTCCAATGGTTCCGATTGAACCCGTGAACACAAAAAATGGAGTTCGTTACTCATAAGACTCGACCGATCGCTTCAATACGAAACCCATTGTCTATGCGAAGCATTGTGGCTTACATTACGATGGTTCGAAAGGACCCATGACAGACAACTCCTTCACTCATACCCGTTCCCGGTCAAAAAAGATATTCAGGCTTTGATAAGAGGCAATAAATGTACAAGCCCATACTGAACAACAACGCCGGAACAGCATGTACACTCGGCGCCCTGCTTCAGAGTGAGGAGACCAGTTAGCTTCCAACAAAAACAATACATATGATATTCGCTCATCGTAAATAAATGGACAGACAGCAGGCAGGTAGGCGACCATACCAATAAGTGGGTGAACGGAGCGGTAGTTAAATAAGGTTAGCGACTCAGAATCAAGAATAACTATAGGTAGTGAAAGAAGGGGGAAGTTGAATCGTCGAATACAAAGAAACACAACATAACGAGGGGAGAACCATGTTTTCGCATAGACAATCGAAAGTGAGTTAGATTGGCACGATCCTTTAGATACACACGTCACCTACGTTCGCTGATTACAAAAAAGCAGAAAACGGGAATTTACAAGTGACAAGTAAGCACGTCTGGATAATTTGCTCATGATACACGCCAAACCATTGTTGTTAAGCGCGTGGGTAAAGGCACTATTTCTGAGGGCAGATGTGTGCACATACAAATGGGTCTGCAAACATTGTGTACCGAGAGTGATGGCAGTAACGGAGATAATAAATCCATCAAAGCATTACCTCGGGGTCGCAAGAATGTGGGTGCGTGTATGGAACAGTACATCGGAGATGAGGGTGGCAGATGTTTAGGCGAAAGTACCATGACGGTGATTTGGATAGATGAAATGTACAATGGATGGGTGGTTTACATGCGACTAGCCCAGATGAGGAAGGAAGTTAATCATTACATCAGCATCGTTATCCGCAGGTTCAATGCCCATTACAGAAGGTAACAAGCTGCCAAGTAACGGTTTAATGTCATCATCTTTTTCGGTGTCACTGGTGTCCGGGACCAAACTATTCAACAACGGTTTAATATCTTCATTCGCGTCCCAATTATCTTCGCTGAAAAACAGACCCCGACCTGAGAATTGCTCAGAGAGCTGAGAAGAATAGGATTGTGGGGTGTGTGATTCAATACCGGATATTGAGGCAGCTGATGAGGAACGGCGTAGCTTCCGCTCAACTTTCTGCCAAATCAATGAACCCTCCGTAGGATTTAGATGAGACACTTCGCTGGGTCGGGCACGTGACGTGGTTTGATCGTCGCGCGCACGCCGACCGGAAAACTGCATTTCCGCGTAGTTCGATCGCGCAGTGGTGGTAGGTACAACAGATGTCACGCTCTCCGTATACGTGCAACCAGCACGAGGTCGGAGAGAGGCCAACTGTAGATTGCCCAGAGCAGCGCGTTCTGCTGGTGTCACCTCATAAACACCGTCCGGAGTCCGGGCACTGGAGGTTCAAGTGAGAAAACGGGGCAAAGTGCACGCTGCCTTAAAGATTTTTCGAACGAATAAGCCCTAAAGACTGTCTGGTCGGTGTAACAAACTGCTCTGCTGCTTACAAAACATGCGGTATTTAAAACTGCGAGCTTTATAGGCTGGCTGAGTATAATATACTGAAAGGAGGAAGCAGTATTACAAATTTCTCAACCAAACGAAGATGTCAACGGTGGTAAGCTGAACATTATTGAGTGAGATTTACAGCTATCCCGATGGACATAGAAGTTTACCTTGCCTCTGTACAACGTACTGGGATATTGGTAATATATATATATATATATATATATATATATATATATATATATATATATATATATATATATATATATATATATATATATATATATAGAACAGGAAAAGTATGACAGTTTTATCCCGTATAGAGGTGTGACCGATGTTGTGAGAACTCCGCTTGCTGTCACTATTTTTCATTGAGCATCAGTGCAACCAGAAGAGCATTTCTAAGCTCGCGCTAGTGCTGTGGCTTTTGTTGCTGCCCCTCAGTATCGTCTAATCAAAAGAAAGAAATAAACAGAAAACTAGGTTATAGCTGGAAAGCATGATGACAACGGAATTACTCTCGTTCATCTCATGCAGACAGCCAGTTACCCGTATCAGGTCTTTGTCCTTGGATGTCGAACTTCGTTATTTCAGTCTTCTTTTATTCCCCGTACTGCAGAGCTGTGGAACACTTTCACTTTTCGTATCTCCAACCACTTACAATCTTTGTTTTTAAAAGTAGGGTCAATGAAATGAAACCTACTGGAATGTTCCCCACACACATCCGTTTTACAGCGCCTTTTGACTACGGGGTTCGCCCATTTTACTGTAAATCTTATATGCAACTAAAAAAACAGTGCGAAGACATCGATGCTTAAACAGCGACAGTCCACATGTATCTTCTATTCGTAACAGTCATGTTTTTGAGCCGCACAGGAAGCCTGACCTGATCGCGGCGGTATATACTGGACTCATGGTGGGCAATCGGATGACACGCCGTTGCCACATCGGGTTCAAATTTGAAAAAGTCAAGCGCGCGGACACTCCATTCGATATCCGTCTAACTGATGAGATACAACTCCCTAGATAGCAAGCCGTCTACTATAACTAAGGCTTCCACGCCAAGGGAAAGGTTTGGTATAGAACAAACCTAGTCGTGCAGCAGCATTTTACACTTCGAACGCACAAAACACTTTCCAACCATTGTTACACTGTTGTATAGACTATCTAGTAGAAACTAGCATAACATTACCCGAGTTTTTGAAAGCAGCTGACTGTCTTAGCAATCCCGTGATTTTATCACGCGAATATGATCTCCAGAATCATCTCAATTACAAAGTTCAAGGATGGCAGAGGGCAACTCTGACGAGTATCCCATGTAGTGATGAACTTGGCTGAAGGATTACCGTAAGCACGAACTCGGTTCCGGCTATTAGCATACAAAAAGTGAAAGGGAATAATTCTTCTGGTTTACTTTTAAGTGAGCAGTGCCCGAAAACTGCAGACAACCGAGTCGAACACCATATTCACATCCAGGAAGAAAAAGATTGTAGGGCCACAAAGGAGTCTGTGCTCTCAACTCTGTCACAGGGTAAACATGTGAACGATACTACCCCAACTGCCTTGAATCTTATGCGTGCTCCTTTTGCGAGTGTTAGATAAAGGTTTATTACTTTTTCCGGTTCTTCTTCACTTCATACTTCTTTTCATTCTGCTCTCAACCAAACAATGCTTTCACCGTGGCTGGCTCCTTGGAGAGGATAAGTCGGCTTCATGATGATATGGCCATTGAGTGTCGCGGGTGTTTTGTGTAAGAGACGTCCCCAACGTCACTCGGCTTCCATTTAAGGGCGAACCTCTAACCTTTGCAAAATCAGCCTCGAGCTGCAAGGCAGCAGCGTGTCAATGCATGGTTGCCCATGGCTCCTTAAGAGCTTTTACGCAGTTCAATCGAATTGAATCCAACCCGAGGGTCTGCACAGCTGTTGGTTGGACAGATTTCCTCCACAGCTACTGGATTATATAGTAAATCTCGTCCATCCGTTTCCGGAGGTAACTGTCCTCGCATGCCAACAGTATCCTACAGAGGTTTTTGAACCCCGGTAACCCTCAACCTGGTTCAGCCTACCTGTCGAGCTGTTTCCCGGGAGGGGGGGGGGGTGGCTGCTGATGCGTGCTTCAGCTCCGTGAAGCCACTGGTGACAGGTGGGACCTAGATGCAGATCAGACAGAAAGAAGCTACCCCAAGGGGACAACTATCTACTGACTCAGAGGTGCTACTCCAGTCGGACATATTACTGAGCGGCGAAGTAGCAAAAACCAGAACCTAGAAATGAGAGGTTAGTGGTAGAATGAATTGAAATGAACAGGATGATTAGCAGAGAATAATGAATAGGAGCAGTTTGGATGCCTGACCCATGTTGCTGCCTTACCATGGTGATCAGATTTACGTGCTACGATGACCCGGAGGGCTACGCGGATTGGAGCGCGAAGCAATTTTCCAGGCTCAATCATACCAGACAAGCCAAAAAATCACGAAGTTCTCTAACGAGCTGCACCCCAACATCTCCAAAAAGGACTAGGGAAGGTCACCAGAGCTCGGAGATTTGTGACGTCCTGAGGTACGAGTTTCACTACGGATCGCTTCTTCAGTAGGTGGGTCTGTCGAAACGCGCCATTAGACATGTGCCGGAAGAGCTATGGGGGAGGCTGACACTGAGGGCCAGCTAAACTGCGCCTGAAAGTGCTCATCCCAGAGTTCAAGACGACGCTGTTTATTTGAATTGGCGAACCGTCATCTTTACAGATCGTTTCACTCACATCTAGTAGCTTTCTACCGGGACTCGAATGAAAATAGGCAGTTCGCACGTTGCTACCACCAGATTTCGCGATCCTCATGAAGACTCGCGCTAAAAGCACGCCTCATAACGAGTCATGTTTCGTTATACTCGCTTCCAGCTGAGATCGACTGGTGTGCGTCTGGGAAGGCGCAGAGACTCGGCGTAAACTCAGGGTCATACATCACGACGAGACAGGCCACAAGTTACTAGACAAGCGGAATGCAAAGCAACCTTGATAGGCGAATGGAGAAGTGGCAAAACACTCCCAATAAACGAAAATCGAGTATACTATCTAGTAAAACGGTGTACAGGAAAAGCGAATACCAAAAAGGGTGTTAGGAAACTAACTTCTTGTCATGTTTGAGCAGACTGTCCACCACCTGGACCACCTTACGATAACCGTCCGATATAGAAGGATAGAACGGGCGCTGTGGCACGGACAGACCAACATGGACTAACTCTTTCTCAATTCGTTTGATTTCGTCCAGAGTTCGCTCAAAAAGCATCAGGTTATGCTCTTCTTCCCGTAACAGATGATAGGCAACTTGAAGAACTTGCGGATAAGATAATTTATCGATAGATTTAGGTCCACTGTAAGGCTCCAAATAGCGAAGATCATCTTCTGAAAAACTGCAACGGATCAACTCGTAGATCACAGCCAACTCGCGTCGACGACTTCGTTCTTGCTCGTTGTGCTCGTCCCTTGCACGTTTATCTGTTCGACAATTAGAAAGACAATTGTCTCTGGATGCGTACGGCGATTTTAAAGGACGAAAGGGTTTCGTTGATGATGAACTCAGATGACGTGGTCGCTTATTGAAATACAGGGAATCGTCATCGGATGCAAAGTCGTCGTCTGTTGGTCCACCTCTGGCACATGGACCGTAAGGTCTACGCGGTCGGTCAGCACGGGGGAAACGCTGTTTACGTGGCCTAGGTTGACTCGACATATTCAACGCAACCTGAAGTTACTCAATCTGCAATCGAAAATGGTTGACTTTAGAGCTAATCCGTAGTGCAGTAATACAACAGAAATACCATCAAAATCATGCATAAATCCACTTTACGCTCCGTGCTAAGCAAACGAAACCAGAAAGAACTTGAGACACCACACGGATGTCGCGTATTATGCGCAAACAGACGCTGTTTATTGGAATCGGCGAACCGTCATCTTTACAGATCGTTTCACTCACATCTAGTAGCTTTCTACCGGGACTCGAATGAAAATAGGCAGTTTGCAGGAATTACCCAAGGCGGCAGTACGTTCCATTTCTGATGCACGTTGCTACCACCAGATTTCGCGATCCTCATGAAGACTCGCGCTAAAAGCACGCCTCATAACGAGTCATGTTTCGTTATACTCGCTTCCAGCTGAGATCGAATGGTGTGCGTCTGGGAAGGCGCAGGGACTCGGCGTAAACTCAGGGTCATACATCACGACGAGACAGGCCACAAGTTACTTCACTGATTTCATCTCCATACTATTCGAGAATTGATCTTGCTTCCTTTGAGTCAGCGACTTTTGATGGACGTCATATCTACCAGCGCAAGTGAAACTTGCTTCCACATGCATCCCCCGTTTGATGTGTATGTTTCTCGTAGCCCCTAGCTCACGTGATTGTTTCTGGCAAAAACTGCTACCAATTCCGCTTGCACGCCTTACCCACCAAACCAGATATGCAGGATAGCTTACCAAGAGCCGAAGATTCAAATATACCTAAAATCATTATCATTATCAAACGACGGTAAGCAGCAGGATAAGCCCCACCGCCCACTGCCTTTCTTACCACGTTGCACGTAAAAATAGAGAATATGAATATACAGAATCGACTGGGAGTGGACCTACAGGGGTAGGGATAAGAAACAATGCCCTAGTGACCAAAACACGGAATACACAGCATAACTGTACAAACGCATACTGGTCAGTCATCCTGATTCAACACAAAGTGACACCACGATCGTCACTGTTCACGGTTCGCTGCCATATCCTTCAGTGTCTCCAGCCAACTGGTTGAGGAATCTTTTGGACCCCAACCACGAAGACGTGAGGCACCTACTTTTCTTAAGTTGGCTGTATATTTTCACATTCCCTATTGCCACGTCATCTGTTGACCTCGGCATGGCTTCTTCCATTCCCTTGGAAAAATGAAAAACTGGGCACGGCAAGGTAGACGTGTGTTTGTCACACGCAACACGTACCCCAATCAACGAAATCGACTGAGCTGAATACGCCGTGATGGAATGTTATTTGAACTAGCACCAACTACCCGATATCGAACCTCAGCATTGCTCACCCGATCATTACATCCAAGAAATTGGCGAAGAGTTCAAATCTGGCCGACGCATTCACGACCTGGTCGAAATCCGGTCTGTTGTTCGCGGGCGTTTCTCTCGCGAGCCGGTGTCAGACGGCGAGGCAAAATCGAGGCTAATACCTTGGTGACTATCGGAGTTGAGCTGATCCCACGATAGTTACTGTAGTCATCGCGCATCCCCTTCTTGAAGATGGATACAATCAGTGACTCACCTCATAATAGCGGAAAACGCTCCTCGTTTCAAACATTACAAAAGGCGCTTAACAAAACTATCCTTTCGAACGCTAATTAACCCCTGGAGTCTTACGGCACAAAACTGACTATTAACCGGCATCCAATCTAAAAGAGCAGCTTCAGCCTTGTTCAAAACTATTCCTACATCATGTTGATCCGCAACTCTAGCTGCTTTGTCTCCTGAAGTGCTCCGGAAATATCTCAATGCGATACCAGGGGCAGGTAGTTGAATCACACTGCTCGAGTCCCGGATACGCGTTTCACTTACGCAGCAGACATCAACCTGCGTCGCACAGCGGCACGGCGCTCTAACTCTACAGGTGCTTTGAGTCAAACTGATCATATCGCCGTAAGCTACCGGTGGCGCAGTTCTGTTCTGCGAAAAGTGGTGGGTCAAGGTAGCCGAAGAAATGGAAATAGCAGCTGCTTCAGGTAACTGTCAAAGACTGTTCAAACCCATTCGTGACACCGGTGGACGGCGCATCCAGGTCAGTGAAACGATTTGCGATAGGAATGGAGAACCCATCCATAGCAAACAGCAAAGGCTTGACCGTTGGGCCGAATACTTCAAGGAACAGTTTAGCTGGCCGCACGCTAGTGCAGCTACTCCCGTGTCAACAACTGTGACTCCTTGGGTGGTATCACTTGAGCCCCCATCAGAAGTAGAAGTAAAGCCATGCATTCGATCACTAAAGCTAGGGAAAGCAGCAGGTCCCGACGAACTTCCCCCAGTTCTTTTCAAACTGGGTGGGAATCTTATGATAAAATCACTTACCGCCTTGCTCCGTGACATTTGGAACGAGGAGCGTATTCCGTTAATATGAAGTGAGTCATTGATTGTTCCCATCTTCAAGAAGGGAATACGAAGTGACTGGTAATCGTCGTGGGATTAGCTTAATTTCAGTAGTCACCAAAGTATTAGCCTCGATTCTACTGTACCGTCTTACACCCGCTCGCGAGAGGAATGCTCGCGAACAGCAGGCTAGATTCCGCCCAGATCGAGGATGAATCGACCAGATTTTTACTCTTCGCCGACTACTTGAAACGCGTCACACGCACCGCCGACCGACAATAGTGATTTTCTTAGACTTGAAAGGCGCTTTCGATTCAGTTGATCGAGCAGCGCTTTTCAGTACTCTTTATCGAAAAGGTATGCCCCAGAAGTTCGTGAACCTACTTAGATCACTGTATTCTCATACTTCTGGCCGTGTTAGAGTTTACGGTGAACTATCCGGTCGGTTCGAAACGACCAGTGGTGTTCGACAGGAATGTCCTGTCTCCATTCCTGTTCAACTTCGTCATGGACAAAATAATGGAGAGTGCGCTGCAAAATCTTCAGGATGTAGGCGTCGAACTAGGAAATAGTGGAAAGCTGTGTGAGCTAGATTACGCGGACGACCTTGTCTGCTTGTTCGAATGCACGGAACATGCTCAACGTGCACTAGGTAGACTCTCAAGAGCTGCAGCTCTATTCAGCATGCGCTTGGCACCTTCAAAGTGTAAGGTGATGTTACAAGACTGGACGTCAACGATTCCGAGCTTGATGATCGATAGGGAGGTGCTGGCAGTTGTCGACCATTTCATCTACCTCGGTAGTTGCGTGACGTCAGATGGGAGTACTGTAGTAGGGGTGATCACGCGTGTATTCAAATCCCGAACGGCGTACGCTGGACTGAAGCACTTGTGGCGTCGATCTGATATTTCACTGAAGTTGAAAGGTCGTGTATACTGTGCCACTGTGCGTTCAGTTTTGTTGTATGGTTGCGAAACTTGGAGTCTGCGTGCTGAAGATATTCGTCGTCTTGAGGTTTTCGACCACCGATGTTTACGTAGTATCGCTAAGATCGGGTGGATTAGTCGAGTAGGTATGGCTGAGGTCAGAAATCGAGTATTGGGTACTAATGCGGAGAACGTTTTGTCACAGCGTATCCAGCTTAGTAGACTTCGTTGGTTGGAGCACGTGTTGCGTGTGACAAACACACGTCTGCCTTGCCGTGCCCAGTTTTTCATTTTTCCAAGGGAATGGAAGAAGCCATGCCGAGGTCAACAGATGACGTGGCAGCGAGGAATGAGAAAATGTACAGCAGACTTAGGAAAAGTAGGTGCTTCACGTCTTCGTGGTTGGGGTCCAAAAGATCCGTCTACCAGTTGGCTGGAGACACTGAAGGATATGGCTGCGAACCGCGAACAGTGGCGATCGTGTTGTCACTTTCTATCGAATCAGAATGTTTGATCGATGTGGGTTTGTACAGTTAGACTGTGTATTCCGCGTGTTGGCTACTGGGGCATTCTTTTCTTTTCCCACCCATATAGGTCCAGTCCCTGGCCATCTTGTATATTCATACTTTCTCATTCAGCGTACAACATGGTGAGAAAGGCAGTGGTCAGTAGGGCTTACCCTACTGTTCAACGCTGTACGACGATGATGATGATGAAAGAGGTGATTGTGAGCGCCAGGCACGCCTGTTGACCGGCCTGTATGACACTATGCACGTTAGAGGAGCCGAGATTTGGAGGCTCACAAGGCTTGAGAAAATGTGAGTTACCAGACAGAGGATTATTCCCGTGACTTTGACAATGAGTCGTTGCGAGTATCGATCGTGGTATCGGTGTGAGCGTTGTGTGTGGATAGAGGGGGTAAAGAGAGGCGGTTAGGGAGAGAAGACAAAGGCTGGATAAAAGAGACGGAACTCGGAGCAGCAGCCCACTTATCACCACACACCCTGCTCCATGCAATGGGCAGTGCGGTCCTGATTACCCTGCGCGACGACCGAAGCAGAATGGAGTTCTTTGACATTGTGAAGTTCATGGGAGATGTTGGACATGTACTGCTAGGTTGTCCAGCAGCAAAGCAGGAGAACGATTAGGGTTCTCAACCAAAGCCTTTAATTCTAACAAAAACCTCTCCGCAAGGCAGCCGAATGGCCGAGTGGAAGCCCATTTGTTTGGATCAATTATTTTCCCATTGATTTTACCGACTGAGTGGCCAGCTCAGACTGACCCCCAGTCTGGAGGATCAGGAGAGTGGACTTCATTTGGCCTCCACACATCTAGCTGTCAGGCATGATTGCATCTCTGGCTGAAGGAAGCCATCCTGCAGAGCTCTCTGGGTCATGAAGCACGCAAGCTATCACACTGCGCCAAGTTCAAGTCTCGTCGATATAGTAATGAATAATCCTTCGTGCTGTAACTCACTTTTTCTCAAGCCTTGTGAGCCTCCAAATCTCGGCTCCTCTAACGTGCGTAGTGCCATACAGGCCGGTCACAATGAACTCACTGAAGACTGATGTCTGCTGCGTAAGTGAAACGCGTATCCGGGACTCGAGCAGTGTGATTCAACTACCTGCCCCTGGTATCGCATTGAGATATTTCCGGAGCACTTCAGGAGACAAAGCAGCTAG